GGGGTCTTCCCATCTCTCACCCTCCCTTCCTCCCTTCCTCCCTCTTCCCTACCTGCACCCGGGCGAAGAGCTCCTCCATCGCCCCCCTCACTGCCAGCGAGCCTGAGCAGGCTTCTTCTTCCAGCACGTCCAATACGCGCGCACCCCTGCAGAGAGAGGGTTAGGACGACAGAGGGGGGAATAGAGGGAGGGAGGGAAGAAGGGGATACCGGTAGCCCCAAGGGGACTCATCAGCAGGTTCTTCACGCGAGCATGCGCCAGCACTACCCCACCGTTACGCCCGCAAACACCAGCTAAGCGTCCTTCGCGGCTCTTTCCCGACAAAGTGCATGCCCCTCCCTTCCCAATGACCCCTCCTCTTTCCCTCCCTCACCGGCACTGCCTCCTTCCCAGCTTCTCCACCATCCCCACGACGGCGGGCAGGAGCACGTGGAAGTCACCTTCCCTTCCCAACGTGTGATGCGCGTGAGACAGAGGCAGGCGAGGGTCGGCCGCCATCGCTCGCTCCAATCCGGCGATGGTACCTGCATACCTGAAGTGTCGGAGGGAGGGGCGCCAACGAAGCCATAGGCGGAGGGAGGAGGGAGGAGGAATGAGTCGCGCGGTGGACACGCGGTAGTGCTGGCATCTACGTACCGTCGCAAAAGCCCCTCTTCAATTCCGACCGCCAAAGCCTGCAGATATAAGCTTCCTTGGGGCCCCTGGTCCCCCTCTTGGGAAGTCTCTGTGCCCTGTCTGCCTATGAGGACGTCCGCGTTGTCCCCCCCTCCGAATCGGTGTGCGGCAACAAAGGCGTCCAGTCGATGATAATAGGCACCCAGGCACACGATGCGGTTGATTATTTCCTTCTCCGCTGTGCACGTGACAATATCGTGGGGGGGAGCGAAAACGGACAGAAAGCAATTCTCAGGTTTGTGACCTTTCGGCTCGAACCAGGTTAGTTCCTGCGCGTTCCGACCAGCACAAGCCCTGCCAATTTATGAAATCGTCCGGTCGTCCCAACAACTTTGTTTTCACAGACTTACCGGCGCTTAAAAAAGTGATGTCCGGAGCCACCTGATACGTGAGAGAGGAGCAGGAAGAGGAGGAGGTGGAGGAACCGGGAAGTCGCACGGGAATTATGACGTCCCCAGGGATGCCCAAGGCGGCCAAAAGGACCTCATGCTGCATTTGGGCGCCCACCTGTCACAATGTAAGGGTTTTCGTTATCGATTGAGGCTCCAAACCGACGCGCGTCGCGAAGGACGTGCTGCTCGCTGATCTTGTCCGCTTGAGCGAGGAGGTCACCAAGGATCGAGCAGTACTTTGATTTATACAAAAACCTCCCTGTCTTTCGGCGCATACACAGAGGCGAACGGCTCGGGACAAGGGAAAAAAATATGTATTTAGAACATTTGCAGGCTGGATAATTGGGAGAGAGGGGATAGATGGCGTCTAGCATTAGACTGCTTCCCTCAGCTCTTAAAGCGAGGCATGCTGGTAAGTGAGTTGCGTGCGCCGCATGGCGTGAAGCGTGCAGTCTTGTCACAGAGCACGCCCAACACGACATTGCATTGTATCGTTTATTTCATTTCCATCTCCGCTCTCCTTTTCTTTCTCTCCTTCCCTCATTTCTTCCTCCCCTCCTTCCCATCCTCCCTTCCTGTCCGCTCATGCCCCATCACAGCCCTCTTTGCTCTCGGCATCGGGGGAGCTGCAGGCGCGATCAGATACCAAACAGACGAAGGCACAAGGCGCTCCGTCTATTTTTGGTCTAGGGCATTTCCCATCTACCTGCACTATCGCTACGTAAGTGGTGTTCAAGGAAGCTTGGCTATTTTTCACGGGAAAAGCTCGGTGCGGAAGTAGGTGTACAGCAACCACTTACCGCAATCCGACTCACCCAAGAAACATGAAACCCTGAATCCGTGTCGTGCACCGCCCCTAGCCGCCTCTCCCTCCCGCCCGCTCACCTTCCTCCTCCCCTTCCTCATCCCCTCTCTGCCCGCACGGACCTATTCGCATTTCCCGCTCGCCCTTTTCAGGTGAAGAGTCAGGTGCAGCATTTACCGGAAGCAGAACAAGAGGAGGCCTACGCGCCTCTCCACCAGAAATATGCCCCGGAGGTGGTGGATATCATCTTGCATCTGAAGGGCTTCTACATCAAGGTACCGATCAGGATGGGGAGGAGGAAGTAACGGCAAGCGGTTTAAAAGTGAAAGAGAGGCCAAAGACAGTCGTTCACGTTTCCTTTCCTGCCCACCCCCGAACCCGTTGCCTTGGAATAGATCGCACAAGTGGGCAGCACTCGGAGCGATTTGTAAGTCCTCCTCCAGCGCTCCATCTCCTTCATCCCCTCCTTCCCTCCCTCCCTCCTCCCC